GCCTCCAACCTCATAGCGATGGCCTCAAACCTCATAGCGATGGCCTCGAACCTCATAGGGATGGCCGGCCTCCAACCTTCTACTCGTACTTCGCACAACGTAGACGTACCGTGACGTTCCGCAGAGCGACAGTGGCACCGCCCGTGGCCAAAGATTTGCCGCGAGAAGTGACGCCAAGAAGATGATCCAGCCCTTGGAATTGTGGCCCTTGGTTCTAGCGAGTTTCAGTCTTACCATGTATGACATGTCAGGACACGGAAAGCGCCATACTGTTGCCAGAAACTTGTTGGGAACCCTGGTTTAAACACAAGAGACGTGTCCTGAAAAAGATCAGACGTTGCTTCTCCGTGTTGTGCTGCTCTATGAATCTAACGTCTGGAAGCTCAGAGCCGCCTCCGCGCGCGGTTCGGCAACGATCGACCCGGGAGTCAGGGCCCAGCTTTTGGAGTGTGGGGATGTGTCTCACGATTTGGCTCACCTTGGCTTCATAGAGTTATATGACACATTGTTAAGATTTATTAAGTACATATTATGTTCAACTGATGAAAATTCCTACTGCTGGAGACTACTACCTGTGCCCTTCAAAAACCCTGGGTTCCTTCAAGTTCCTTTGAAGGGAATTTGTTCATTCAGTCATGAAACATAGTCAAGCATTCCACATTCTTGAGAGGTCGCAAGGCTCCAACCTTTTTGCAATCCTTCAGTTCTAGAGCAGTCCAACTCCAACTAGCTGATACTTGTTCAGTTCATCGCTGTGATGGTTGTCTTCTGCTTGTGGTGGTCTACACACCGCGCCGCAGCCGGTTGTTGCGGCTGTAGGCCGCCAGCCTCCCGGTCCAACTCCCGACCTAGCAGCTCTCAACGTGGGGAACTGGGAAGAAGAGACCTGACGGACCAGGTGAATTGGCACGGACTAAAATGGACTCATTCAGTAGGTGGTTGATGGTGCTGTTGGGGGGGTGGAGATGATGAAGGAAGAATCCCATGCTTTGAGTGTTCAACTGAGTACTGCAGGACTGGTGTGTGTGGACCGTGGAGAGTGGATGTTTCGTGAGTAAAATTCCGACAAACTGGAATGGTTGAAAGTCACCCACACTGACAGACTGAGGATGAGAAAATCATTCAATGTCGTAGCCGTAGCGCCGTAGCGACGGCAAAGACGGGCAAGCATTTTAGACAGTCAAGTTTGTGCTTATATAGATCAAAAATCAAGGATATGATGTCAAGTGCCCATGTGCTTATTGCATGGGATGAAATTGCAATAGCTTGCATTGCATGGGCTGTTATTTGCTTCAGTTTACTCAGCTCACAAAATCCATTCCCAAGCAAGCGAGCCTAATTGCTTGGCACAAGCTCTACCACGTTCTGACAAGTCAGCCCTACGTGCCCGATCAGGAATAAATTTCGGAAAACCACAAGTTTCTTTGAGGGCTGCATGTGTTGCAAGCTGCGTTCCTTCACCTTCAACATCCTTCTCCTATGGGGAGAAGGATGTGCTTATTCTTGCAAGAGCTCTATCACTTCTTGTTCATGTGGGCCCCCTATTCACCAAGCGCTGGACCCTCGCCTTCCAGCACCGACCTTCCCACCATTTTTGCAAGGTCAAGTGCCGCAACCCTTGGTGAGCCGGCCGGGATCTGCTGCGTCCAAGTCTTCGATGCTCGGTGGAAGTGTGGGATAAGTAGCCCTGCCATGAGAACCCTTCCACTCAGCCCACGTAGCCTAAGGGTCGGCAGTGGCGGGCGGCAGCGAAGCAAGATCGCTCCAACACCCAAAGCACTTCAGGTGGCCATGGGCAGGGGCTTGTGCATGAAGCATATCGTCGGCCTTGCCATTTGCATGCCAATCCTCAGTTTGTGAAACTTCCTTTCCCATTGTTTTAGAGTGTTTTAGATTGAGGAGTTTGAAGCTTGTGTCAGTCCGTCCAAGTCTGATGTTTGGTTGCCTTGTGGATGGGCCACCAGGCATGGGGCGATGGTTCTGCGAGCTTGACCACGCCGAAGCCTGACTCATCCTGCTTTGGCTGAAGTTGGTGTCCTTAAGCCCCACAGCTAAGGTTCTTTCAAGAAAACTGAGAAAACAAGTGAAGGAAATCAAATCGCGATAGCCAGAGTTGACAACCTTGCGAGTTAGATAACATCAGCTTTTGTGTTTAAGGGAACTGTCCATCCGTATGAAGAAGATTGAATGCGCATGAGTGCTCCAACTTTTGTCGGGCTCGATCTAATGATATCTAATTTTTGAATGCTTGAATTTGACATTGGAGTTTAGGATTCGTCAAAAAATGCAGACCCCGACTCCCGACTTCATAGCAAGTGTCAATAAAAGAAACATGAACTACATGTTTTTCCACATATAGCTCTTGAGTTGTGCTTTCTTCACCTGCCTTTTGTTCAGAGTTCATATGTTCCTCGCTTTTTGTCACTTTCATGTTTACGGGGTTGGTCG